GTTTTTAAAGGATCCGGTAAGTCTTAGAAAACATTAACCGAAATGATTAAAGGAATCAAGTGCAACAGACTCAAATATAAGTGAATATATCACATGCATGTTTGCGCGGTTTCTGCAAATTCAGTCAAAATCAGTTCAATGGATTCCAGAAAATGCTCACAACCGTCATCAACATTTTGGTGATATGATGCATAAAAGAATAAAATATTAATAACTTAACTTACCTCAAACTTGCTGTCACTCGTCTTGCATCTATAAAGTAAATATTAATCGACCTTCGGCGTCTTTCAAATTTCCAACCTAAGTACCTAAGTGCGGAAATGTTACAATTACTCTAAAAGAAACACGAAGCCGGATACGGTCTGATATTCCGGGAAGTTCTCGTTTTTACATGTTTCGGTTCCAATTAAAATTAATGTTTACATTGTTTATAATAATGTACAGACGAGAAGCAAAATACTTTTCTTTAAATACAATATATTTATTGGCACAAAGTCATTAATTATAACAATGAATGGTTCCATCTAAAAGTCAGTCCTGTACAGTAGTATTGCATATAATAATATTTAAACAGACATATATTTATAATGAAAAGTTTATAGGATATTTAGAAAAATGTGAGTGGAAATAATTAGACCATATTACAATAATCACATGGGATGTTTTAAATCTGAATTAGGATAAGAAAAAATTGACATGAAAAAATATCACGGCCTTTTCACTGGTTTCAACAACCAGTGAAAAGGCCGTGATATTTTTTATTAAGCATGAAAGGACAAGTTATCACGGCCTTTTCACGGGATATTGAAATTTCACGGCCTTTTTCTAACATTAAATATTTTTCACGGCCTTTAGAAATATTTTTTTTACAAAAGTCACGGGGTATTTTCACGGGGTTTTCACGACCCGGTGATATTTCACAGACATTTCACGGCCTTTTCATGGGCTGTTGTTACAGTAGTGTTACTTTTAGTCTGTTTCGATGGAATTTAGCCATACAAAAAGTTTTTCACTGTATTATTGGATCCTAATTCATTCGGTGTTAAAAAGGAAAACAATATTTTTGTCAGCATTTGGAGAGCTGATAAGGGAGATTTAGAATAAAATGACACATGCTCTCTGTTATTTGTATAGAGACAACTACAAAATATTATCTTAAAGTTGACTTCTTAAGGTATGCATTAATTGCATTCCTTGAGTTGTTAGTTAAAAAAAAACAAAACATTTTGTCCAAACCAAGTTGTATGTTTTTTTTTGCTCGGAAATTACTAAGTCCGAGCCTAAATTACTGATCTTATATAAATATTCTTGTAGGTAATTCAAGACAGTCATCAAGGTTTGGACTAAGGTACTATCTTTAAGACAATTTCTTCTAGTTGTCACTAAATAATTTTACTGTACTATATGCGTATTTTGACATAACGTTTCTACATGTCCTATTCGATGATGAGTCTACAAATTAAATATTTTTTATTGTAATTCTTTTGTTACTTGATCCAGGCTTGGTTTGTTCTCACTTAACTGAATATACCTTATTTAACTTTAATTTATTTAATTTGTGTAAATTCAATAGCTGTTATTGTTACCGTGAAACAAATAAAACCATAGCCTCTTTCTATTGTGTCGGCATTCAATAGAACAATGACTGCTTTTTAAATAATTTTGATGATGTCGAATTTTAAAAATAATCTCACAAATCTACAGGCACGTGGGTATTATAAGAAAGAAATGATGTGTAAATTGACGAGTTATGAACTGTTGTCATACATGAAATATAAAACAAGTCGCAGGCTAGACATTTCGTTATTCTAAGTATGATTTCCGCCTAAGGTAAGTATTTTGTTTTTAACATTGTTTACAGTGATGTTCATTGTCTTTTTTTATATTTTATCAAATAAGGTATTAACACTACGTTTGCCAAACTTACGAATTGACACAGTTGGAAGTAGAAATCAAGCGTAAACAAGACGTGTATATTACGACATGACGATATGTTTAAATTGTTAAATATCTCTTTTTATTTTGAAATTAGAAAACATTATTGTTAACACTACATTTTAAAACTATTAGTCTTACATTGTATTTATCAAATATTACATCACCATGCCCGAATCTAAAACATGATCCCTAAAACTTCACAAAAATGTTGCACATACATTGAAGTCGTTTGATATGAGGAGGTTATTTCATTGTAAATAAATGTAAAATATGACTAGGCGAAACACCCACAAATACATTTGGTGTCTGTCCAAAGTTGGTGTTTTCATTTGAACTGTTTAACATGTTATCATGTCGGGCCTTTTAATGGCTGCATACTGAACGCGTTTGCTACTTGTCGAAGGCCATGCGTTGAACTACACTTTTTTACATTTGTTTTAAATGTGTGCACTGGTGATTCCCAAGTAATGAACTATTGGTACTTTTGTATTTTGAGATCTTGTATAAGTTATCAGAAGTTATTCCTATTTTTAAGTTATTTTAATGAGCAAATAAAGCACGTTTAACTTTAAGTTATTAGCTGATAACGTCAAATATGACGCAACTTTGTCATGTGTTATTCAAAACCTTACAGGCGGGTAAATATTTTAAGCGTGAACCCGAAAATGTACAGTAATGAGTTCTTAACTGGACGAATTGATATACTTATTCTGGTTTAGTCTCGATTTTAAGTCGAGGACTCCTCTGTTTACTGTCAGCTTGTGATGTTATATTTTTCTTCCTGATTAGAATGTTTATTGCCGGTAAATTATAATAAATACCAGAGCAATGTCAAATTCGTCAGACTTTGCTGTGTTTACAATTTGGACTACACAAGGAGCCCGGGTTTCCTAGAGGAAAGGACAAGCGCCTTTAGCTGTACGCCTCGATGAATTTTTATAAGTAAGCGTCGTAGTTAAGAGGTAAGAGGCAGTGCAGATAGTTTTAAGCTTCGCATTTCTGGGATTTATTTGCATTGCATATAGAATTTAGGATGTCAGATATTCCCATACAAAAATACAAGAATGTTATTTTAATGTCTCCGCCCCTTATGTAACTTATGTCACATTATAAAGATATTTTTTGACATGCTGTACACTCAGTTAATTGTAAAAATATAGATACATGCAGAGACAAAAGTTTAACGACCGTAAACCTATTTGAAGTTAACCTGCTTGCCTGATGAATTTTTTACACTAAACCTCTACGCTATTGTACTATTGTCTAATAGCATTAAAACTATATTTATTCATTTGAATCTACACTGAAGTTAAAACAAAGTAAAGTCAGCTCTAGCTTGTGTCATCAGACGAGAAGACAACACAACACATGTCATGTTTTTTTTTTATTACAAGTGTAGTCCAGGACAATATGCAGTTATTGAATAAATAACTATAAACTGTAAATTCAAGAGACAAATGCGATGTGTTTTAGTCTGTTGCGTTTAAAATAAGAGTTATGAAACTCAAAGGCACAAGTACGTCAAATTTTGATTGACAGTAATAACTTACATGCTGCTCTAATGACACAATAAATAACCGTTACTTTCATTTCAATTGCGTTGATGTTTCCTAGATGTTGACGTCACATAAGGCTACGTATCACCAGGGTTTATCTTGCACTGAACAACACGACTTATGCCACATGTCACAAGACATCTGATATCCCTTCCATAGCACAGGAAATCACTCTCGCTTTTATTGGGGTGCATGTTGTTCAATTTTTGTTTATTGGTGCAATGCTTCGTCCTTATATTTTGTCTTTTTGTCAATTTAAGTTTGACCATGTTGTTGTCTGTTTTAAATATGGCTTATAGTTATCGATTCGTCCCTTGTATCTTCTCTTTTTTGTCATACTATGTTGATTTGCATTATCCACGTAATTAAAACTGACAAAAAGTTGTACATAATTCAAATTCACATATCTTTTTAAGGCAATTTTTTCTTGAAAGAGATAAATAGGTTTAGGGGATTTGTTTGTACATTAAGTCTTATCTACTTATAACTAGAATAAAAATGATTGGTGACCTTCATTTTGTAAAAATTTACTCAAATTACATTTCAAAAACGGTAATGTTTGTAATACAGTTCTTTTCTTTTGTTGCAATTTAAAAATGGAGGCTGCAGAAAGTGACTAATCCACGTGGACTAATCTTGCAAATTTCGTGTATATATCTTTGTTTCCGTACGTTTCATTGCGTACGATGTGCGCAATTTATTGAGAAATTAAACAAGTTAAAAGCAATAGCACTCTGTTCATTATAAAGCCGTGAATAAGTTTTATTTCTCCATTCGTCTAGAACGGTAGTAGATAATATTATACTGACAGTCAAAAATAGTAATAGGCGTAGTTTTATTCTACAATTTCATATTAATAACACATTAGTAAACAAATATCTGTTATACAGTGCAGTACAAGTTTTGTTAAGCATTGACCAACTGATTGTTCAATTCACAAGGTATATCTTAAGGTTGCTGCACATATGTATGCACATGTGCACATCGTTTTTATTCTTTGTTTGTTTATTGCGTTTTCGTAAGTTGTTGTAGTGGAAAACCTACGTCGAAGACAAACTTGTTTTACAGTGGAAGCCAAATAATTATCGATTGGAAGGATGAATGGTGCAAAAGAACGACATGCACAATTGGGGGTTTTTGTTCTGAGACTGTTTCCAACGATTGTACAGTTGATTTTAAAAGACAATATTACACCAGGAAAACTTAAAAGAATGTTTTTAGACAAAACAGTGGATACAGCGCTAACGGATACTGATATTGATTTAATGAAAATGCTTCCAAATATGGATAGTTTCACGATAGAAATTTGTTATAAAATACTTCGGTTTGAAAATTTAATTGGGGAACCAAAGTGTAAATGGGGCAACATTCCGCATGAAACAGAAATTGAAATTGCTGATGATATTCAAAGGATACTTAATGCTTCGAATGAAGTTATTACCAAAACTTCACATGAGATTACACAGATTTTCCATAATTCATTTGAAAACAATGTAAAAAGGATAATTGAAAGAGTTGATGTATACCTAAATGGAGATACTTGTCAGCAATCGTATCAAAATCTGCATATTCAGCAAATAGCTGTATCTGAGCTACTTGAGATCCTCGAGGAAATAATGAAAAAACAGCCAATAAAGGGTAAGATTAAAAACAAATAGGAATAATATTCCCTTATGTAACTCTACACTGCCTTGTAATGCTTCATGTAATATACGGGTTTCCTAAATTTTCTTAGTACAGTACAGTACTGCAACAACAAAATTCAGCTCCATATGTAGGAAAGTAGTGCAACATGAACTTTTTTTTCATCTTGTACAATAACTTTTATATATGTTTTTTGGAAACTTGTCCTACAAATGCTATTAGGACAATGACTAATGTATAAATATAGATTCTACCACTGCATCAAGTGTGATACGATATTTGGTGGTGGAATCTGTTTCTCTAATGATTTTTAGACGATATGCAGACAATCATTATCCTTCTTTTCGAATGATCTGCAAACAGATGTGTTCCTTCTATGTGACGTCATAAGGCATGGTCGCCTTTTTTCATGACGTCACAATGGGAATTTCAGAGGAAAGCAAGAAAATTAGAAGTCATAATCGAATTTTGACCAATGGCAAACTGAGATCAAACGAACCACACGTTGATTAAAAAAAAATAATCATCAGGTCGGGAAAAGTATAAATCGAGTAAGAATTAGAGAAAATAACTGTAAACAGAAATAAAAAAGGTAACACTTATCTAATATTGATAATACCCCTTATACAACTGTGCGTCATACGAAATGACAGGCATATAAATCTTCACAGAGAGAACGTACATTAGACCCATTTCAAAGAAGCCAAAGTTGAAGCATTACTTAAGTAACAGTTTGATATTTTCAGTTGATCGAACTCGACTTCAATTTAATATATTATTGAAACCCTTCTAAAATGATTTTGTTGTTCTTTGGCTTTTCACAGTGATTCCATCCATAATGACAACTGTCGGGAAGACCATGATGAGGGAATTATACTCAAGAATTGCAATTGTAATCATTGACATATTTCCCGATATTCTTAGAGACATAATTCAGTCGACGATTTCTCCACAAGACTTGTACAAGAAATGCGACAAAGCTTTTCTTAGTTTATGCTATTCCGACCAACAAAATTATTTGAGGACATTAAAACTTAAGAATTCATTTTCTTCCTTAGATATACCTATCATTTATAAACTTTTAAGATACTTTTCATTAATATCCCCTCCATCGAAGGGATGGGGAAAAGCTCCTGATCCTACTGATCGTCTAATTGCGGATGACGTTGAACGTATCCGAACGTTACGAAATGAAATAGCACATAGATGGGATGCAAATATTGACAAGAATACGTGTGATGCCTTCTTTGTAAGATTTAGTGACATCGGTGAAAGAATTGATATTCATTTTACCGGACATACAAGCTATGAACAGAAAGTGATTGACTGCAGGATGTGTTCGATGGATATCAAAATGCAGACAAAGTACGAAAATGCTGTCAAAGAATTAGAGAATCTAAAACGTAAGTTATATATAACAAATATTGAAACAGAAACTTAATTCAAATTTTATTGATGTCCAAAACTTAAAACATAACCAAACTAATAAGAAAACGGAAATATATTTGTATTTGAATCAGAAGCAAATGATTCCGATAACAGACACGAAAATTTTAGAAATATATGTTTGTCTTTTGTATTCTTGTCTTTCATTTTTGCTTATGTACTTTGGCTATATAGTGTCTATATGCAATTTTGTTGTTCTTTTGTTGAAATAGTTGTTTGTTTTTATAGTGATTAGCACAATGTTGACTGCTGTTTTTACATATTTGTTTGACAATTTTTGACATTTGCCTATTATGTCTGTTTGTTTTGCTCACACATTGTTGTCATTACAATGGAATTCTAGATGACTATCATACAAGTGAAAGTTTAGCTATCTATAAAACCAGGTTTAATCGACCATTTACATAAGGAAATGCCTGTTCCAAGTTAGGAATATGACAGTTATTTTCATTCGTTTGATGTGTTCGAGCCTTTAATTTTGCTATTTAATAAGGGACTTTCCTTTTTGAATTTTTCTTGGAGCTCGGTATTTTTTGTTATTTTATTTTTACAACTAAAGATCATCAAAAATAACTCTTTATAGAAATAATGAGAAATGCAATACAATGAGATAATAGTGATAAAACCATAAACGCATAAGATGAAACGATGTCCTATTATTTCTGCATGCTATTAATGTATAAGGATATTTTTGTTCCTTTGGTACAACAGACAATTTAAATGGACATGTATATTATTAAAAGAATGTAGAATGTACTGATATTAATATTTCACTGTTTTTATCATTTACTATACAATGTGACTTCTACCATATTTTTCGATTTTATAGTGCATTACAAACGTAAGCCAGTAAACTTTTACTGGGGCGACACTTTTGAAAAAAATCTTATGAATCTCCAAACGATGTTTAGGCACGAAAAATTAGAAGGTAAGTTAGTATTTTCTCTAAAGTTAAAATTCACCAATGTTCATGTATTTAAGGATTTCATAAACTTTTCAGATAAAATAAAAAAGGCTGATCGTGACCTAACTGTGCGATAGGTGGGTGCTCAGTTGTCTGAGTCAAAACACATATAAAAAAAAATCCTTTCCCGGAAAACAGCATACAGATCCTCAACTTATAAACTGATATCAATATCAATGACGACGATCATGACTCAACTAGAAGTCGATGTCGTCTATGTCGACACGACATCGAATTGATATCAATCATGAGTAAATATAATGCCACATTAAGCTAATAAAGTTTTGACCAAACATGAATATTGTTATAGGATTAGCTGATGCCTTAATTGTAGTCAATGCTTTCATCATAAATATGCAGGACCATAGTTTTATTAAAAATACCGTACCTTTTATCAGGTTATATAGCGTTAAATAGTATTGTTGGCGATACCTATGTATAATGGTCAAATTTGGTCAAAGACAAAGGACGTAAAAATACAAAGAGAGTACAACATTTACTTAATATGCATTTTGTTATCCGTTAGATTTGAACTGATTCATATTTCATACACAGAAAATAGTCTACTCAAATGTTGAAAAAAAGATTAAAATACATGTAGTTGCATGTACTCTTAGATCAATACTTTATGTGTTTGTCTCCGTCTTGTTGTTTGTAGTTGTTGTGCTTCTTGCCAATCTGATGAGTGAAGTTAAGTTCGCGTCTAACTCACGCCACCAATCCGTCAGACTTATAGTAAAAATCTTTGACTGATCGGACAGATCGGACGGATATATCTTTCTGACGGATTGAACTCTACTACGTCATATATTGAACTCATAAAAAATACCAAATCCTAGTTTCGTTTCATTTTGATTAAAGTGGCGCCCCGGAAAAACACGTTTGTTTGCAATTACGGAAGCCAGATATTTTATTATTGATCATTCAGCAAAGTTGTAAGAACTTAAAAATTTTGCGTTTGATATAACAGAAGAGTATCATGCAGATAAACAATAAGAATTTGAATATTATTAAAGAATTGTCATTGTCTTTGATATTAAAGTATTGTTATTTCAAACCCGATTAGAGATCAAAATTATGTTTATAACGATTGTTAAATCTACTAAAATTGCCGAAAATGCTCTAAAAATGAAATAAAATGATCAATAATTGCTAATATCGATGAATTATTGTCAGTAAAATAAAGAAATATGCAAGAGGGACACTCTAATTAAATGCAATCAAAATATAAAGTATATTTCTCCTTCAAATTCATCATTTTTTTTGTGGAACAACCAAACAAAAATAATTAAATCCGATGATGGTTATGGTTTCAATTAAACTTGATGAAATGAAGAAATTAGTGCATTCTTATTCAAAAGTTGACAAAACAAAGAAAGGTTTAAGTATCTTTATCCCTATATTAACTTATTGCTAACAACAGTGCATTATTTTTTAACAAAATAAGAAACATTGGCATATTCAAACAATGCGAACAAAATTTTAGTATCTTTTCTCTGATATTCATCATATCTTATGGAATACACTCCATCCTGATGTTCAAAAATCCAAGAGCTGTTCATAATTTCCATGATATTTAAAAAAAAACAAAAGTGTGCACAAAATTATCCCTTTATATATTATGCACATTTTATGAAATAAGAACTTATTCAGAGTAATTTTAAATGACTGATTGCAAAAAACATTGCATTATTTTTTATTGAAAGAAGACATAATGGCATATTTGAACAATTCATACAACATTGTAGTATCTTTTCTCTGATATTTATTATTATTTGTGAAAAAACAACAAATCCTGATGTACAAACAGTTTTAAATACCAATGCCTTTCCATTTGAATAAAAAAAAAATGATTGCATTCTCATTCAACAAAAACAAAAGTTTAAGTATCCTCATATATTATTCACATTTTATAAAAAAAAATACTTATCTAGAGGCATTTACAATAACTGATTGCATACCACGTTGTCTTATTTACGACATTAAAGAAGAAGAAATATTGGGACATTTAAACTTAAATCGTAATGTCCTTTCTTTGGAATTCATCATATTTTATGAAAAACAATCAATCCACATGTACAAAAGTACTGAAATCCAATCGCGACTCATACTTTATATTTAAAAAAAAAAAGAAGAAATAATTGCATTCTTATTCAACATAAACAAAAATTTTAATACTTTTATCCTTATATTATTGAAATTTTGTAGAAAAAAAAACTTTTTCAGAAGCATTTGAACTACCTGAATACAAAACAAACATTGCATTATATTTTATAAAAAGAAAAATATATTGGTATTTCAAAACATTGCGAACAGTAATTTAGTATCTTTTCTTTGATCATTTTTTAACAATTCGAACAACATTTAAATATCTTTTCTTTGAAATTGATCCTATTTTATGATATACAATCAATCCTGATATGTACATAAAAAACTATAATCCAAAGGCGATTCATAATTTCTATATCAAAATATAAAATAATTCCTTCAAATTCAACACAAACTAAAGTATATTATCCTTATATCATTCAATTTTTATCAAAACTAACTTATACACAGGCATTAACTATAACTGATTGCAAACAACAGTGCATAAGTTTTGATAAAGGAAAGAAATATTGGCATTTTCAACCAATGCGATGAACATTTTACGTTTTTTTCTCTGAAATTTATCTTGTTCTATGTAAGACAACCAATCATGATGTACAAAAGTACTAACATCCAATGGCGGTTCATAATTTCTATTAAAATAAAGAAAAAATACTCTCTCATTCAAGACAAAGAAACGTTTAAGTATCTTGATCCCTATATTATTCATATATTTGTTTAAAAGTAACTTATCAAAAACAAATTAAAATAACCGATTGCTTACAACAGCGTATTTTTTTTTTTCTTGATAAAAAGAAGAAATATTGGCATTTTTTAACTATGCGAACAAAATTGTAGTATCTTTCTCTGAAATTTATCATAATTTATGGAAAATAACCAAACCTGATGTACAAAAAGGACTTAAATCCAATGACTGTTTATAATTTCTATTAAAATAAAGAAATGATTACTAGTACATTCCTAGTCCAGCACAAACAAAAGTTCTTATCTTATATTATTGAATTTTTTAGAAAATTAATTATCCACAGACATTTGAAATAACTGATTGCAACAGTGCATAATTTTTACTAAAAAGAAATAGTGGTATTTTGTAAACATTGCAAACAGTATTTTAGTATCTTTTCTCTGATATTTGTTCCATCTTATAAATAACAACCCAATCTGATCATGCTGATGCACAAAAAGTACTAAAAAAACAATGACTGTTTATAATTTCTATTAAAATAAAGAAGTAATTGCATTCTTTTTCAAAACATACATAGATAAGGCATCATTATCCTTAGACTATTCATTTTATTATTTTAACATTTTATCTTTTTTTAGTGATACAGAAACATTTTGAGCATGTCACTATTCTGAAATTATGTAATTTTTTTAGCAGAAAAATAAAAGAACTAACAATAAAAAAGTACATATAATGCGTTATAAATAATTATATATTTCTCTAAAATGTGATTTCGACCAACTTTATAACAAATTATCGGGTAACGGTGTCCTCGTAGAGTTCCATGTTTATCGCATGTAAATATTACAGAATTTTATTAAATTAGAATTTAAATTATATATGTATCCGTCCGATCCGTGCATATACTTATTTGAATGATCGATCGTTGATTGTTGTCACGATAACCCTCACATAACTTGTTTGACGAACCTGACGGGTTCTATGGGTCATCGATCACAAATCATTCATCGATCAGTCAAACAGTAACGCCTGAGGTTGCAAGTACTGTAATGCCATAAATAAATTAAAAAAAAAGCTTCGGGCGTACACAGTATATACAGTGTTGTTTTCATTTACTAGCACTGGGTCGATACCACTTCTTATGGACTGATAGTCCAGGAGGATATCATCATCTCAGTAGTCAGGGATTGGCTACTGACATGATCTTTTTTTTTTGGATATTTTTCCAAAGTTCTTCTTTTATATATTAAGAAACTAATAAAAACAAATAAAGGTACTTAAAACATGGAAAACATTGAATAGTTATAATGTTATAATCAGTATGAAGATTAATATAATGATATATCATTATTAGTCACAAAACGTCGGCTATTGCTGACCTTATATCATATAGTAAACTTACAATGGTTGTTAAAGCTGTTAAACTTGCCATTAAATGTTTAATCTCAGTATTGGAATGGATTGACATAAAAAGTTAACTCCGTGGCATGCTTTGTTCATGTTAATGTATTAATTTATTATTTCAAAGATGTTTAATATCTGACAATGCTCTCTTAAACCAAATGTTATTTGTCTTTTTTAAGGAAATGAAAAATTTCGTGTACAAATAGTCTTGCAAAATGAGAGTGACATGAATGACAAAACAGTTAGCATCCTGAACTCCCTCAGAGATGAAATTAATCAAGGATTAAAAGGAATAGACTTCGTATTTGCCTCTTCTGGAAGTATAGTTTTTTGTGTGGATATACTGGTTAAGGAAATGCAAACAGATGAAACAATGCAACTTGTAATATACTCGTTTATAAACAGAATAATCGAGACAAAAACTGTTGTCGTTTCCTCAACTGGATATGTGGATGTAGTGTTGATACATTCTGAGGGTAAAACACTTTAGTTACTATGCTATAATTTCTATCTAAATTGTTTTGTTACACAAATCAATCATACAAGACTCTTTTGAAAGACAATAAGCGGTCATCTCAGTACCAGAATGTATGACAAACGAGACGATTTTAATTTTGAAATAATCAATTTCCCCCACCTTAGTAACAATAAATCAACTTTACCTGCATATGAGATATACATTTCCCAAATCATTCGGTATTCAAGAGCTTGCAGCTGCTACTCAGACTTTAACTAAACCGTAACCAGTGTCTAAGCAGAAAGTTGATGAACCAGGGTTATGTTAAAAAACGTCTCGTCCTCTTTTTTTTTTAAAGTTCATCGGAAGATACCAAGAGCTTGTTGATAAATATTCCGTATCAACTTTACAAATAATACAAGATAGTCTTGAAGTATAGATTCTAGGTACTGACTTGTTTATCATCTTAATAACGTGTTATAGTATTCTTTTATTTGTCTTTGTTAATTATTACTTTAACTGTTTAGTCTCTATTTGGTAATATCCTTTTGACGTGGCTCGGTACTTATACATCCCGTCATTGTGTTATTGTACTATGGTAAAAAAAAATGTATTCTTGTCTTTCGTTTTTGCTAATGTGCTTTGTCTATATGCCATTTTTTTTTTCTTTGTTGGCATATTTGTTTGTTTTATAGTGATTAAGACTATAATATAATGTTGACTGCTGTACCCCTATTTTTGACATTTTTACCTTTTATTTCTGTTTGTTTAGTTCACACATCGTTGTCAATATTATGGAATTTTATGCGACTGTCATACAAGTGAGAGGTTTAGCTAGCTATAAAACCAGGTTTAATCCACCATTTTCTACATAAGAAAATGCCTGTACCAATTCAGGAATATGACAGCTGTTATCCGTTCGTTTGATGTGTTTGAGCTTTTGATTTTGCCATTTGCTTAGGGAGTTTCCGTATAGAATTTTTCTCGGAGTTCGGTATTTTTGTTATTTTACTTTTTGGAGATATAATGCTGTCTGGTGTACCTTTTACAATTCAAAGTAATACGCATGATAAGAACACGGTATCTTTAATTTAGGGCCGTTTGTTGTTTCTAGATCACTAAATTTTTATTCGAGTGTCACTTTGTCTATTTTCGAAACAATGCATTTTTAGCGTACTGAAGTAAAAACCGGGGATTTTTGACAAGGTTTTTTTTACTTCATCTTGACAAAATCATTTCAAATGTATGTATTATTTTCGATAGCTAGATGACCGCATGGTGATGAAACTAAAGGCCGACATTTAACATTAGATTGAAATACCTGTGTGGGGATGTAAATAAACAAAAATCTATCATAAGACACTTTAATGACAGTGTTTGTCATTGCACAATGTTAACGGATTGAATTCATAAACACTTTAAATCCCAACATTGTTCAAGGTCATTTTATGATTTCAGAGAAGGCTTACTTAATATCATTTCCATGTATTAATTATGTAAAAATCAGTTTCCTACCATTCAATATTCACATGCTCATCTTCGATGGCACCAGTCAATTTTAAAGTTAACCTTAGAAAGTAACTTTTAATGAAATACGGATATGAAGTTTAACACTCTAATAAAAGGAAAATGATATTTTTGGACCTGATCGATCCCTGTATAACACATTTACCAGTTTCCAAGAGAAGCTAGCAAAAACCATGTTTATGTCACAAACGTCTTATTTTATTTCTTCAGAAAACACTTTTTTCGAGAAGACAAAGAAAGAAACGATTACTTCATCTGTTGTTAACCTCGATTTCGATATTGATGCTAGTCATTTTGAAACTGATGAAAAAATGAAAGCAGCACTTATTGATATTGTTGAAAACGTTTATAAGAAATCAAACGGCAGTGGAAAAAAAGGCGAAATCAAAGCAAAAGTTATGCCTTTGGAATTCGGTAACTATAAATATCAAAATTATTAAGCGTTTTTCTAACAGAAAACATGAACAGGGTTACTGCTAATTTCAACACAATTTGAAATAGAAATGAGCATAGGAAACGTCAACGAATATCAATGATCCTGTGGTAACTCAAGCTTCAAGTGCGAAATTGTAGGCAATTAAATGAAATTATAAAACAAAGTATGGACCCTGCTACATACATATTGTTTTTTAACAAGTTCATCTTAGCGTTTTGGTTGCAGTTATTCTGAAAAAATTCATGTCAACAAGTGACTATTTTTGTAATATTTCTGAAGAGAAGTCGTATTGTTACGTAGAGATGCGTCGAGAGACTCACATCATCATTGTTTCAATAAAAAGAATTGTATCCGCCATTGAAGCATCGTCAAGAATAAGTTTGGTTCTTATATCTGTCAAGGCAATAAGGATATCTTAAGTTAACAACGCTATACCTTTATATCTTATTTAGCTTTAGTGTATGTTATTTTCACTTGCAGACTTCGAAGCAGAAATTGTTTCCGAACTTAAAGAATACGATAAATCAAATCAGGTTAATATTATATAGTTTTTTAATTATAAGCGGATTAAAACGTTATATTCATTATCAACTGTAAATGGAATTATTACAAAACGCTTTACAATTAAGGACTTTTTTCTATTTGTATTATATTTGGTTTACATTGATTTCATAAGCACTACAAGTTTTGCAGTTCAGACGAACGTAATTTTAACATTTTTATATATTAAGAACGAGTTATCGACAAGTATGACGACTTTCATATGTTTTTAAATATCAAACATTAATAATATTGACACACCATAGCTCTCTTTGTACCAGGATTGTATTAAGATACATATCTTGTGTAACAATAAACTAACAATACGATTCTGCATGTTTCCTAAACACGGACAAGCGAATCATACGCCATGACAGCTAACATTAGTTAACATTAGATTACTTTAGGAAAATACAGACACCAAACACGAATCTGAACATTCTGAAGTGGATGTAAAATACGAAAAGGAAGAACAGGTACTGCTGTCGCTACAGCTTATCTCTGAATTCTATGATTAATACCAAATTCTTAATGAAACAACTATAAATTCGTTTGATACATTTCAGACTAAGTTGGAAATGTTTTCGATGATGTATGCGTCATTCTGTTTCTTTCAATATCCTGAAAGTCTGGAATCTAAATACTTGAAATGTTAAGTAAAACGTACGTGTACATGAACGAGTATGTATAGATACAACTACATGGACTAGTTAATGCTTTTACTAAGCAATGTGATAAGGAAAATAAACTATATGCGTGTAATGTTTCGATTCACTGACATGTCATCAAGCGAGTACATTTTGCAAATACATGTTTTTTGTGTTAATTTTGCAAGTTTAGGAATGGAAATGACAAAAATTCTGGCAGCTTTAACAAAACTTGACGAGGTGCATCTGTTGACAATATTTAAGGAAGAAAGTAAATATTTCTAAATGTACAAATAGAAATCTTGTATTTTGAAATCAACTTTTTTTTAAGGTTTACGGATCCCATCGTGATTTGCTTGACTGTAATTAGGATATGTATTATATATGTTCAATCTAACATTACCACATTCTCATTCGCTTTTCCTCGATTGTGACATTACACAATGCTACACGAGACACCATATCTTTACATGCAATAAATAACAAGACAGGTCACTAAAAGAGCAAGAACTGCTTATCTTTCCGGAGCGACAGAGTTCACCCGATTTTTGAGAGGATACGTGCTGCTCAATTTAAGTTTTCTCTTCGTGTTTGTTTTTTTCTAAAGACTGAAAAACAAAGGATATCTAAAATTATGACGACTTCCATATGTCTTTTACATATTAAACATTAATAATTTTGACACTTCATGGAGTTTCCATGTAACTGGTTTGTATTTTGATACATATTCATTGTAACAATAGACGAACAAAAAGGTTTAATATTTCAAAAACACAGACAACGAATCATACACCATGAGAGCTAACATATCAATATTTCTGTTTTACTTCAGGAAAATACAGACACCAGACACGATCCTGAACATTCTGAAGTAGATGTAAAACACGAAAAGGAAGAACAGGTACTGCTGTCTCATACAGCTTATCTCTGCATAGTATGCTTAATACCAAATTCTTAATGAAACAACTAGAAATTCGTTTGATACATTGCAGACTAAGTTGAAACCGTTCTGATGATGTATGCGTCGTTATGTATATTTCTATATCCGAAACGTCTGATATCTTATTTTTTAAAATGTAAAGTAAAACGAACGTGAACATCAACGGGAATGTGTAGACTAGAACTACACGGACTAGTTAATGCTTGTATAACGAAATTTGACAAGGAAAGCCAATCATATACATCTAAAGCATCGTTTATTTGGCATGAATAATGTCTGAAAGCAAGTACAATTTGCCAATACATACTCTGTGTTGATTTGCCAATTTATTGATAACAAACGATTTTTTTTTGGTAGCTTTACAAACTATGACGAGTTGCTCCTTTTGCCCGTATGTAAGGAGGAAAGAAAAAAAAATACAGTTTAGTTTTGTTTCATTTGCATACACAGGTAAAATAGCTACGGACGTTTTACGAAAAAATAGTACTTTTCGGATGATGTTTATCGGCTGTTTAATTAAACCCAAAAGAAAACAAAAATATTGTATTTACTAGAGAGGAAAGGGAGCATCCAACTGTGTTTTTTTTTAGGATAAATGGTGAAGAGGTTGAGAAAATAAATATTCACTGTCATCTTGGGATAACATTTCAGTCATCAGTTTCATGGAACACACATATTGATAATATTTAAAAAAAATCATGCTCTCGTATTTCTGTGCTTCGTCAATTTAAACATGTATCTATGGTCGGGTTGTTGTCTCTTTGACACGTTCCCCATTTCCATTCTCAATTTTATTAGACAGAAGTTCACTTATACGTATTTATTATGCTTTTATTAGACCTATATTAGAGTATGGTGATGTTGTTTGGGGAAATGGCTCCCAGCATGAGTCTGAGCTTCTACAAAATATTCAAATAGAAGCTGCTAGAATTATTACTTGAGTACAGCGTAATTCCTCAAGACAATAACTTTATATTGAATTAGGATTTGAAACTCTGGAGAATAGACGGAATAAACATATGCTTATTCTGTTTTATAAAATATTAAATGGGATGACACCTGCATACTTATATGTGTTAGTCCAGTCATATTTTCCTAGACAAACACTTATACTTTGAGGAATGAAAATAATACTTTTCACCCTCCTCTTGCTAGAACTAGTTCACTATAAAACGTTGGAATAGTCTTCCTCTAAGTATACAAAAATACCAAAGTATATTTAAAGGTAGACTGGACAAGATTTATAGGACTGATGAAATATTTAAACCTTTCAATCATGGGATACGGAAACATAATACAAGTCATTGTCAACTCAGAAATAATGCTAGCAACAAAAATCTCATTTGTTTTAATTAGTTCTTATCAGAGAACACTATTTGTGCAAACTGTAATCACCCTGTTGAGGATAACTAGCATTTCTTTTTCATTTGCCCTCAGTACAATGATGTTAGACAGATTTTACTCGATTCAGTTTACTCAATTGTTGATAATGTTGACATAAATATTGACCTTTTACTTTTTGGAAACAGATTATTTTCATATGATATGAATATTGCTATTTTTAATTCTGTTCAGAAATATATCAGTGACACTCACCGTTTTGTTTGAAATTTTCTTAATTTTTGTTTTATTTAGTGTTTATTTATTTATCTATTTATTTATTTTTCATTTCTTTCCTTTTTTCCTCTTCAACATTAATTCATTTATTCTATTAAGTAAGCTTAGTGTCTCTTCCAAACCTTATGTTTATATTTCTATATGTAAGGATCATACTAGATACGTTGACAAATCACCATAGTATAAGATCTATCAGTTATCGGATGTGCATACCTACCAAAATCGACCCTAAGTGAATGCGTCTACATCTTAAGTGTCCCTATTTTAAATGCATTTATCCAAGTAAGAATCAAGTCTCGGCAAAAATTTACACACCACAAAGCAGGAAGTAAATTGCCATATCACACGATTAAATATATTTATGCTGTTTTAGATTTGTGGTAACTTATTCAATTTGGGAATATATGATAATAGAAAAAAACATTTAAAATATGCACAAGTAGCAAAGGTATTGCTTTCACCTACGGAGCAAAATGATGATTATTACAACAGACAACTTTGCGTAAAAGGAACCAACTAATTTGTTTTGATAAGGCACCATTAATTTAAATCAGAAAACACAAGCAAACCAATGCATTATACAAAGCTACAGTTAAACCATTAACTATGAATGCAGGCTTTAACTTTTGGGATCCTTTAAGACAAAAGCTGCTATACAAAATTTATCACGTTCAGTTGAATTCGGTGTTGCTAATATTTTGATTAAAAAAACATATGCAAAAAGTATGTTCACATTAAAAATTTGATGAAGATTTACAACAATTTGAATAACATATAACCTTCAGTTAATAATGCTATCATTTCAACCCTGTTTTTTTCAAGTACATACTTACTAATTAATAAAATGACATCAGAAATTCATTCCTTAATTCTTTTTTGCAGCAGTATGAAAAGACTTATTTCCTTGGTGAGTGATTTTCTACTATGGCTAAATGGATCTTGTAAGATGATGAGTAAAACTGAATAACACACATATCTTCATATTAGAACGTACTATCTGACCTATCTCACATATGTCGGTCATTTGATGTATCCCTCGCGTCTTCATTTCTGTATATTCATATCAGATACACAAAAAACCAGAATTAAAAGTACGAGGTTTACCTTGCATGTCTCCAAATGAACTCTCAAATACTGTTGTTAATATCAAGAAGTAAAATAACAAAAATATCGAACTTGAAGGAAAATTAGAAACGCAAAGTCCCCTATCAAATGGCAAAATGAAAAGCTTAAACAAATTAAACGAATGGAAAACAACTGTCATATTCCTGACTTAGTATAGACATTTCCTTATGTAGAAAATGGTGGATTATAAATGGTTTTATAGATATGTCTTTTGGTAGTTTTTGTGGTTTGTTTGCTAGATTATTAACGTGAAACCGACACCTTCTTTTATTCAGTTATATAGTTTGACTTCCATTGAAATCTAGACTTGCTTAAGAATGAAGCATGAGAATGCAGGTCTCATAAATTGTCATTACAGCCATGCAATTAAAACAAATAAAATTAAAATATTACAGTTAAAATCATTTGTTTTTTCTACTTTCTATTATTGAGACATCCCTGTTTTTAATATTTTCATTTGAGCGTGCCCGATGCAAAATGACACCACCTCTGCTTGCGACGAATGCGAGAACCACAGTCGTGTCAAATAAAAGTCTTTAAAATTGAAATTTACTGCTTATCCGCTAAGCACGCGGCATTTAGGAATAAGAACAAAGACTGTTTGGACCGGAGTCAGAAAAACGTGTCCGTGTAGCGTCACATGTCTTCATGCAGACTAAAAAAATCCGGTTCAATGTGTATGTCTATAGTCCAGCGGATAAAAGAATAATTGATCACTTTATGGTAAAAGCATGACATTTGGCCTAGTGAAATATAAAGGGGTATAAACAAAATTCAGATATGGAGCCATGATAAAAAATCCAATTTGGCCGCAAAATTATAGATGGCCGACATAATGTATTGGAAACACAACATCATACCCATGATGAAATCTACCTATATGAATGAGTTCAATAGACGTAAAAAAATTAAGGAAATACTTTTAAGAATTGCCAATAATTATTTTGCACAACTTTATAAATACATAATTAATCAAAATGGCGTCCAAATTCAAAATGGCATACGTGTCAAACACAATGTCAATTCTTTGTCCATCTTTTCAAATATTCAGAATATTGGGTATGAACACTTTTGAAAAGGTATTCATTAAATATTTTGACATTGGTTGGCTTAAGCATATTAACAACCACAGATCCACCAAGAATAATAGAAATCACTACATGTTGGACATCTATTGGAGGCGACAACATATCTAGACATTTTGACAGAAAGTCAGCTTTTGTTCCTAGATTGGTCGTACAATTTTGACTGAGCGATGTTTCCATATCTTGATTGACAAGCAATACACAGTATTGAAAATAAAGAACAATATGGAATATCTAGTTCGCTGAATCTCAATACAGCTGGTGAAATATTCAAAAAACTCTCTGCTAAATAGAAGGCTGTCTGTGACTGGCATTTTAAAGTAGCTTCAGATTGGTCAAATATTTGCAAAACTCATTAAACATCGTTCGAAATATGTCAGAATAAAGATATAACGTTTCCACGAAATGAATCTTTTGAATGTTTTCTACAGCAGGCAAAGTTAATACAGTTTGCAGTAGATGGGTAGGGCAAACAATATCTACCAGGATATAACGACGACAAGCATCATTGGCCAACAAAGTAGAAATTTCTAACATGCTGTCGTAGGAAACAAATAGTTCAAGTTTGGAGAAAGTGTCAACTAGATCACGTTTGCTAGTCTCACAATGGATCATGATTCCAAAATAAGTACAAACTGGGGGTGAATCGTCTTTCATGAGACAATTGGATTGTTTCTTTGTACAACTATACATCAGAAGCTGTGTTATTGTTAATTTCGACTGCGAATATGAACGAACCTGAATGTTGGGATCAGACTAAATCATACTGACCAAAGAAAGAAGTGACTAGGATCCTAAAGCTTCTTGTGAACTTTTTTAGATGGCTACATATTCAAAAATGTTCATTAGGATTATAACAAACACTGTGCAAAGTTTCACGTTTTTACTTTAGAGTGGTAAATTATATCAATATATTGGACTTAGCCTCTTGACAATTTGCGGCCATTTTGATTTAGATGGCCATTTTGGAATTTGTTTAGATGGCTCAATATCCAAAATTTCTTATAAGCAACACAACAAGCGCTGTGCAAAGTTTCATGCTTTACTGAAAAGGTCAATTATATCCATGTATTGGACTTAGTCTATTGACTATTGGCTGCCAACTTTGAATTTGGCGGCCATTATCGATTTTTAAAGATGACTCCATATGTAAAAAAATGAAAACAACACGTTATAAATTTCATGCGTTCGAAGCGCTTTTCTGGATTTACCTTCATCAGGAACGCTCAAAGCCAAATATTTGAAAGCCAAGGATGTATAAGGACAGAAAACGTTGAAGAGCTTTAAAACCAAGTAGGACCTAAAAAAATAGCCAAATCCATCCAAAGGCCAACTTTGCCTGAGTTTATCAGCATCATAACTAGCAATGTGCAAAGTACTATAAATTTTACAATAAAGTGATCAATTGTACCAATGTATTGGACTTAGCCTCTTGACTATTGGTGGCCATTTTGAATTTAGCGTTCATTATGGAAAATATTTAGATAATTCCTTATCTTAAAATGAGTGTTCAGTGTCAAAGCTAGCACTGTGCAAAGTTTCATGATTTTACTTTAACGTGATCAATCATATCAATATATAGGACTTAACCTCTTGACTATTGGCGGTCATTAAGGATTTTTTAATAAATTGCTCCTTATCCAAAAATGTGCATGAGCACCATAACTAACGCTGTGCAAAATGTCATGCTTTTACCATAAATTGACCAATTGTGCCAAAATATTAGACTTAGCCGCTGGACTACTAGTACAGGATAAGGTTTCATATTCAAATCACATTAACACGTTCTCGTTCCGAATATGAAGTTATTTTGCCGTTAAAAAACATCCATCCATCCATCCACCAAATGCAAAACGACACATTTAACTACAGACTTTAACAGACTTAATATGTTGTGTGTTTATACGAATAAAGACCACACTAACAACATGTGTTGTCTTGAAATGTAAATGCACTCACTGAAAAGGAAGAGTCAGCTTCCGAAAATGGTAAGCATGACAAAAATATGTCTAGGTTGGTTAAGACTTGGTCGAGTATGGTTCAGACAAGGTCGAGTATGGTTCAGACTAGGTCGAGAATGGTGCAGACTAGGTCGAGCATGGTTCAGACTTGGTCGAGAATGGTTCAGATACTTATAAAATGATAACGTACTCGAGTAAAGGTCGAGAACAAGTTCAGACTGTTAAGTATGGTTCAGACTACAGTCGAGTAATATCGAGTACATTTCAGACCTATTCAGACTGGTCGAGTAAAAATCAATATAGTCGAGTACAGATAAAGGCCATTTCAGACTTTTACTGGTTTGTAGTGATATATCACTACATGACTACTTGCGTTGATGTTTGTTCGTCATGGCGAGCTTTACATGTCACTACATGGCTACTAGCGTTGATGTTTGTCAGTCATGGTTAGCTCTACATATCATTACATGGCTACTTGCGTTGATGTTTGTTCGTCATTGTCAGCTCTACAAATCACTACACATGGCTTCTCGCGTTGATGTTTGTCTGTCATGGTGAGCTTTTCATATCACTCCATGGCGACCTGCGTTGATGTGTGTCCGTCCTGGTGGGCTCTATATATCATTACATTTCTACTCGTGATGATTTTTGTCCGTCGTAGTGAGCTCTTCATATCCATGCATTGTTACTCTCGTTGATGTTTGTCCGTCATGATAAGATATTATCTGCTAACTACAAGATGTTACGTTGACCTTATGGTTCAACGACAATCTACTCCATGTTTACAGCAATCTAACTCAACGCCGTAGAGTACAACATAAAATAGTCCGCTTCGGCATGCACTCCAAAACCCATATTCGATGGGGATATGCTATGTCGTCCGACGTCCAAGGGCTATGTATCCGTGGTGTTGGGTAATGGACCAGTTTTCCACCGTGGTAGTACCCAACCTAAGCCTAGATACATTGCGTGATATCGAGCTACCACACTGATCCTGAACAGGCTTTCTGTAGATATTCATTACTGTGTCCACGATTAATCGACCAGTAAAACATCGACGTAGTTAGCGGGCTGCCCTGCTGATCAACCTGGCCCAGAAAACAGCCGTTGTGAAGACAGTATGCCTCAAACCAAACCATAATAGTCAACAAACCAAATCGATCCACGTAAAGCCAAAATGGCTGCCTTTTTCCAACTTGACAACAACAACAGTGCTCCAGCTAGGAATCAAACGGGACAGGGTGCCAGTGGAGGGCAGGGCATTTTTTTATGAAAGGAAAAGGCACTGCTCATTTCTTTTGTCTACGTTTCTGTGTGTATCACGAGTTCAAATTCTATGGTTTACTGTATATGTTGTTAATAAAGATGCATACGTTGTTGTTTTGATTATTTATTCTATAAACCTTGCATTAGAAAATGTAATTCATACGACATGTTCATAAAACATGTCAATACACATTCATAAATCACATCACTATAAACCAATAGAGGCAAATTAACTTACTATCCCCCTCCCCTCACCTTTTCAAAAAAAAAACAACATAAACTAAACATCTCATTGTTTAGCATACATGGAACGGAGTTGTCTTATTTCAAAATTTTCAGCTACAGTTTGGCCCTCAAAACTTTTTTTTCATTGTTTGTGTTAAGGATTTATTTAGTAAAGCTTCATCAAGTTGATGTCATGATAATTTAACTTCACACTACCCATTTTTGTAGGATTGCAGCTTAACATC